TCCTTCCATCCGTCGCATCTGACCACGTCTGGTACACATGTTCTCGTAGATTTACATTGAAATTCCGATGAAGAGCAACTTTTTGCTGAAATGGGGAGAGCTCAACATAACTTGCAAGGGTATCTGGAAGATTTCATCGCCTGACATTATTTGTAGAGTTTGATGAGAAAAAAGGACTTTCCCTTCAAGAGTTGGTTTTAGTACATTCGGGTACTGTCTTTTTGCATAATCCGGAGAAAATATAACTCACTCGAGCAGTCTTGTTCGTCATCGCCGTCAGGGCACTGGACGATTCGATCACAAAATTGCGATACTGGCAAACAATGACCAGATCGGCACATTCTTTCGTTTCTTGGACATCCTTTGCTTGATGGCTTCACCTTGTCGGACGTGACCCGTAACTGAATAAAAACTCTTCAAGTCCTGCCAGGACGTAGTTCGAAACTTACAGCAAATTATTGAAATCATCTTTTATTGCTCCCATAACAATGAATCAATTTTGGAAAGGTGTCAAAAACATTTTTATTCTAAATTCAGGGCAACAATATCGCATACCCTCCATTTTACCCATTTCAACAAATTTACCAGAAATCGTTAGTTAACAAACTTTAGTCCCAGTGAAATGTCACGCACATTGTTGCAATACGTGAGATGAACGGAACAATTATCCATAATTATTACTGTGCTCTGTTTTCTGGATTTTATAAGGAGATTATAAAATTTGTGAGTCCCACAACTTTTGACACCATCAGAGCTTGTTGTTACACTAAACACAGAAACCAAAAGAAGTCTCAGAGTTTATAAGAGTGAGAATATTTGCGAGACAAACAGTACAAAACCTAACGCTTTATCGACAAAAAACGTGAGATTTGCGGATCGATCCATTGATCATCTTTGATCTACCCTTCATAAGAAGCAGACGCGAAGTTGATTCTTTCTGCGCTGTTCTTGATTTTTAACAAAATAATGTACTAGATGTTCAGTATATAAAATTTTCATGTAATCGTCGCCAATTTTTGAAGTTTAACTGCGATTAGGTTACTGTATAGGTTTGCAGTGGCGAAGGTCGCAACTACGATCACAGTCCATGCACGTTACCAACAAGACAGCTAGGACAGCTTTTTTCTTCTCAAAAAGAAGTCGCTTCCGAAACTTTTGCTTATGAGGGTCCTGCAGCTTTGTTTTTTTACTCCCTTAGTGCAGCCAGATTTGAAACTTTGCGTACGGCTAATCCCGAACGTAAACAAACAAAAAAGATGCCGACCTACCAGCTCACCACGCGCACAATTAAGTTCACTCACTCCAGACATCTTCACCCAGTACAAGGACAATTAAAAAGCAAAGCTTCTCAACTTACGTCATAGGTGGCATCGACTCCCATTCCGCTAACAGTGATTTTGTACTCTCCAGCATCGTCAGCAGTAACATTTTCTATTCTCAAAAAGTACTCGGATGATGTGCGATAGATGTTGACTCGAGGGTCTCGAGAATTCGTCAGCGAGTCTTCGCCAATGATTCTTTCGTTTCGAGACCATAGTACCTTCAATAGGTTTGATTATCGGGTCACTCACTAAAAGTACTGGCTTCTGGAGAGATATGGAAAAACTGCTTATAAGGCCAGTAGCTAAGAATTGGAAAAGTCAACAAATAGCTTCAAATGAAGCTGCAGATTTTTTAAAAATAGCAGAAGCATTATCGAGCGAAACGACCAGTTTTTTGAGGATCTTAAACCTATTTAGGTGAAGTTGCATTTACAAAATTTGTTTGATTTTCATAAAATTAACATTTATCAGAATGAGCTAATTTTAGCTGTTCACTCGAAACTCCCTACTATACAATTTATTTTCGAAACCCTCTTTCTCTTTCCTAGCTCTCGACTGCTGGAACTAGCTTTTGGCTTAGTGCAATCGTCATGCACAAGAAGTCTAGTGTCTTGCTATCTTTCCAGAAAATGCAAAAAACTCTGCTCTCAAATAAATTTTTAGCATAAGAGCACGGAGCGTTCAGTAGCTGCTTCTCACTAACTTTTTTTTGAAGTTTAAGCTGCTTATGTAGTTTTTTCTTGTGATTAGAAACAGTTTCAGAGACAGAGATAACTATAAGTGCTACAAAAATGATGTGGCTAAGAAAGATCACCAAAATTGTATCCGAACAAAAATTGAAAAGCAGAAAATTTGCCTACGAATGACTCAGAACATCCTACTTTTTTGGCAAAGGACGTACTAGCCAAGTAC